AGTTTATGTGATATGAGATGAAAAGGTTGAAAATTGTTGCTTTATGTGGTTTATGTCTAGCAATATTTACTATATTGAAAATTAAAACTAACAAAAATTTATATTTATTAAATCTTTAAATAACACTAAACTCATATTTTAACATAACTTTTTGTGTGAAAAATAACAATATTTTCTAAAAAGACAGTAAAAAAAGAACACTGTTTCACATATTTACAAATTTTTTAAATATCTAGATTCTCTTATCCACTTATGCATTCAATTTGTTGTAATAAATTGACTTTGTTATAATATGACATAATATATGATATAATATGTGTCTACAAAGACACATAGTTAGAAAAGAATTTATAATTTTAAATAATCTTCTTTGGTACTACACCAAAACCCAACAATGGCAGTTTCTTAAAGGTTAGTTGCAATACGAAATCTGAAAACATATCAATGAATTTTTATACTGTGTTACATTGATCTATTTTGCATTTAAATGGACCTTTTTTACCCATGCATGATTTACATCATGCACTTCATATCTGAAAAACATTGGTTCATTGAGTAATAATGCATATTTTCCAAATGTTGACACATTTCAGTGTATGATATTTTTAAAAATCACATTTATTAAAATCACCACAACTTCCTCAGAATAGCCTTTAAGTATTTGGAAATTGTCAAGATCATAGTGGCAAATACAAGTTTTCCAAAATTCCAATTTTCACTTGAAAGCTTGAATTTTATCATGAGACAAATACTGTCAGTTGTTTACTAAATGTATTGGCTCTCTTCACTTTTAAGAAAATATCTTTCAAATAAGCAAGTCTGAATAAACAGTCATTTTAAAAAATATATTTTTATTGATTTCAGAGAAGAAGGGAGAGGGAGAGATAGAAACATCAATGATGAGAATCACTGGCTGCCTCCTTTATGCCACCTACTGGGGATCAAGCCCACAACCTGGGCACGTGTCCTTGACTATAATTGAGCCTGGGATCATTTAGTCTGCAGGTCAACGCTCTATCCACTGAGCAAACACAGCTAAGGTCATAGTAATTTTTTCAAGTAAAAATTGTATTCATAAAAAAGGTGGCCAGATCTGTCCAGTTTGGTCAGTGGTTAGCAAGTTAGTCCTTGGGCCAAAGGGTTGTGATTTGAACGCAGGTTTGATCCCGGCCCAGTTGGAGCATATGAGGAGCAACCAGTCAATATGTCTCTTGCCTCCCTCTCCCTCCATTCCACCCTCCCTCATTCTTTCCTTCCCTCCTCTTTCTCTCTTTCCTTTTCTCCTTCCCTCTTCCCTCTCTTGCATTCTCTAAAAATCAATGGAAAAAATATCCTCAGGTGAAGATTTTTTTAAAAAAGTGGCTAATTCAGCTCACAACTAAAAACAATTATGCAGATGCTTTCCTCAAGACAACTGTTGTACCTCAGTATAGAGCAGAACTGCTTTGTGTGTGGGTCCTATCTAACCACAAAGAATATTACATAGAAATGTACTTAAGATTTAATAAAATTAATACTTTTTACTTCCTCATCAAGAAAATTTCTAGCCGAGGCCGGTTTGGCTCAGTGGATAGAGCATTGGCCTGCGGACTGAAAGGTCCCGGGTTCGATTGCGGGCAAGGGCATGTACATTGGTTGCGGGCGCATCCCCAATAGGGGGTGTGCAGGAGGCAGCTGATCGATGATTCTCTCTCATCGATGTTTCTAACTCTCTATCCCTCTTTCTTTCTCTCTGTAAAAAATCAATAAAATATATATTTTTTTAAATAAAAAAAAAGAGAATTTCAAAGTGAACTGGCCCTTTCAATCTTATTTCAAACTTCAAGTTAAAAAGTAAGATAAAAGTACTTGTCTGTAAAGAATATAATAACTAGTACAGTTTGATGCCCTTGCCTTTATTTGTGCCCCATCCATTTCAACACAGTGAACAAGGCAAATACCATCATAGTATTGTTATAAAAATAATTTTAACCTTAAAAAAGTCTTGAAGACTACAAGGCTGGCCTAACTCAAAAGGTGGTTATAAAGATTAAATATGATATTGTATGTAAAGTGCTCAGCATAATATCTGGCACATAATAATACATAATAATTAGCTGCTTATAATCCTACTAGAGACCCGGTGCCTTCAGCCCAACCTGCACCCTCTCCAATCTGAGATCCACTAGAGGGATGTCTGACTGCCTGTTTAGACACAGTCGGACAGTCGGACAGTTGGACATCCCTCTCCCAATCTAGGACTGGGGCTCCCAACCACTCTCCTGCCTGCCTGCCTGATTGCCCCTAACTGCTTCTGCCTGCCAGACTGATCACCTCCCTAACCACTCCCCTTCCAGCCTGATTGACGCCTAACTTCTCCCCTGTCAGCCTGATTGCCCCTACCTGCTCTCTCCTGCCAATCTGGTTCCCCCCAACTAACCGCCCTGCAGGCCTGGTCTCACACAACTTCCCTCCCCTACAGACCTGGTACCCCACAATTGCCCTACCTGCAGGCCTGGTCCCCCACAACTGCTATCCCCTGCAGGCCTGATTGTCCCCAACTGCCCTCCTTGCAGGCCTCATACCTCCCAATTGCTCTCTCCTGAAGGCCTGGTCATCCCCAACTGCCCTCCCTTGCAGGCCTGGTCCCTGACAACTGCCGTCCCCTGCTGGCGTGATTACCCACAACTACCCTCCCCTGCTGGCCATCTTGTGGTGGCCATCTTGTATCCACATGGGGGCAGCCATCTTTAACCACATGGGGGTGGCCATTTGTGTGTTGGACTGACAGTCAATTTGCATATTACTCTTTTATTAAATAGGATATAATAAAGAGCTAATATGCTAATTAGACTGAACAGCAGTGAGACTGTCCGGATGACGTTATGGAGGAAGCAGGGACTGCACAGGCCAGCCGAGACTGAGAGGGCTGGGCAGGGCTGCGAGGGCCGAGCCCCTTGCACGAATTTCATGCATTGGGCCTCTAGTTATGATGATGATTGAGTAACAATGCTATAAGAGAATCAAGCATTGGATAACCTGAGATTCTATTATGATTAAATAACCATTAAAAAATCATCAGAGATTTAAAAAAATCATCACAGATAGATTTAAGGCATCAATCATAATCTGACACCATCTGCTGTTTGGCTACACAGCAACAGTAAAATGTTTTCTTTTACTATTTTAATGATTGCATGAGATTATACTATCAATAATAAAAAATATTTTTAAACTAAAAAGAGCATTCTCCTACAATCCTAACAAATCAAATTACATTAACTGATTGTTTCTATTATTTGCTTTTGAAAGGATATATGTATGTGAATATATATATTTTATACATATAAAATTTTCTAGAATCATAACCAGAAATAAATAAAAGTATTAAAAATATATTTAAGGATAATGTAAAATTCTTAAGTTTAATCATTAACAAGTTGAAAATGGTATATTTAGGGGATCTTAGATATTAGTGTTTCTTTGGAAATAGGTGACCCCATGAGATTAGGGTTATGCTTCTCATGACTGATGTACACTACAGGGTCAATGAAGCAGCCAGAACTGGGGCAACTTGAGTTAAAGGTCTTTTACTTGAAGCATCTCAATACATGCAATCCTATTGGAACCACTCCAAGTAAAACAAGATTGTTCAATGTCTAGAAAGAATACTTGTCTGGATTTCTCAGCAGTGTGAACTTCGGGAACATTGTAACCTGCTCATGCCAACCATAACTCAGGGTACTAACTCAAGGCCAAGATCAGACATTCACCTTAGTATGCTAAAGCAGCTTGCAAAATTTAGTTATAGCAAGTCAAATATGGGATGTATGGTAGAAAGAAACACAAATTATATTGGCACTTTAATATTAGCTAACATTTATTAAATTTTTACTATGTAAGACATTGTATTAAGTTTTTCCACACATTATCTTTCCTAATCCTATCAACCACCCTATTTCCTCTGAGGTAAATAATCTCCACCAGACATAAAAAACCTGAGGCTCAGAGAAATTAAATGAATGACCCAAAGTTCCAAGGCCAGGACCAACCAGAGCCAAAAATGTAATCCAGCTCAGTATGACCATAAATCTTGCTTTTGATCAATGTATTTTGCTACCTCCCAACATTACCAATATTCCCATGAGGAAAAGCAGTAACTTTAATGAAGACTTTAAAAAATACCTCCAGGGGTTTCATGGGCCCTCTGAAGTCTATTCATGTATATAGACTCCAAGTTAAGAAACCCTGCACTAGAATCTCAAGACAATTAATATAGTATAAGTTAAAAATTTGAAAAAATAAGGTATAGCAATCATATATAATAAAAGGCTAATATGAAAATTGACTAAACAGAACAACAGGTCGCTTTGCAATGACGTGCACTGACCACCATGAGGCAGACACTCAACGCAAGAGCTGCCCCCTGGTGGTCAGTGCGCTCCCACAAGGGGGAGCACCGCTCAGCCAGAAGCCCTGAGCTGGGCTCAAGACTGGCAAGCTCAGCAGCAGTGGTGAGAGCCTCTCCCACCTCCCGGCTCCACGACAGCACTAAGGATGTCCAACTAATGGCTTAGGCTTAGGCCCATATGGGGAGCAGACCTAAGCTGTCACTTGGACATCTCCCAAGGTCTCCTAGACTGCGAGAGGGCGCAGGCCAGGCTGAGGGACACTTCCCCCTCCCCACCTCCCTTGAGTGCATGAATTTTGTGCACCAGGCCTCTGTAATATTAATAGCTACCATTTATTGAGCACCTGCTATGTGCCAGAGACACTGTGCTTAGAACTTGACATATATTAGCTCATTTCGTTTTCTCCTACAATACAACACCCACTACTCTAATTAGAAAACTGAGATCAGAGGACTTAAAATGACTTAATAAACTGGGAGGGAACTGAGTTCATGCTGACTCATTCTATGGCACCAGTTCCCAATAAAGCAAACAGCAAATTAAGACCAGGTAAAGGGTTTAAACTTACTGCCAAAACAAACACAGAACAAACCCTGGAGACATATTTACCTGTATGACTTATGCAGTTCCATGACTTTCTCTTCAAGTTCCTTGGTCTGATTTGGGGCCAGTTTAAAATCACTAACATAATCCGGACCATGGAGTTCAGGGTCATAATCGCCCAGCTCAGACTGGATGGTGTAAGAACCTAATAATGCTAACGTTGCAAAGGAACAGGGCAGACGTCCTGCAACTATGTCTTGTCGAAGTTGAAGACATAAATAATACCTATAGCCAAAAGAGAAAAGATGTTACCATGTCAGCAACAATTACAAAATATAGACAGAGAGAAAAGAAGAAGAGGGAAGAGAGAAGAAAAAAGAGAAGAGAGGGAAAAAACTGATTAAGTAAATATGAAATAATATTAATAATTGTTCAATCTAGGTAGTGGGTTTATGGTTGCTTCTTGCACTGTTATGTTTTTTTCTGTGTGTTTGAAAAATTCCTATGTTTGTTTGTTTTTAAACTGTAGCTATGTTGGAGACATTGTTGGAAAGAAGTTTAGAAAGGAAAGAGGGAAAGTCTGAAGGAGGTAAAGAAACTAATGTTTTGTTGAGTGCAGTAAGAACCATACATATATTTACTCATCTAACTTTCACAAAAATAATTTATGAGGGGGGAAATTATGGCTAGATTATAAGATGAAGAGTCAGCCTTAAAAGGTAAGTTGCTCAATGTTAGGTAGTAATAAAGGCTGTTTGGCTCTGAAATTGGTCCTTTTCACACTGCTATGCCAAATGTGGACATTACCCTTCATATTAAAAAAATGACATTATTGATACATTTTCACTAGAATCTGATCAGAAATTTTTATCTTATGTTTAATAGCTCATCACTTTCCTTCAATTCTTCTGAAGAAAAATTCCCAGAGTTTATAATAATGAGAATTACTTATTACATATTTAACTATTACCTTGTTATATCTTCTGTTAACTGTGCTGGGTCAGGTGGATAAAATTTTACATTAAATGTGAAATTCCAAGGGATACCTGTAAAAGTAAATGCAAAAAAATTTTATGCTTAAGCCTAAGTTTCTGTCAGAAATATCTAAAATTATTCTATTTCTCCTTTTTTCCCCTGAGGTTTAATATTTTTATGCTTTGTAAATGAGATATTTTTATAAAATTTGTTTAGATACCTCTTAATAGGTAAAGTCAGAGGGTCTAATTTTTCTTTTATTCAATTTAATATAGTTTTATTTACAAAAGACTAAAATATATATGCAAAATAATAAGAAGGAAACCATCTTATAGGTAGACATGTTTATATCAATAGTTTTCAAAATATGATCTATATACTACCATGGGTGCTCAGAGGTCATATGAACGATACATGAATGTTCTCTTCTGGCATTAGCATTACTTATGACATCTCTCAATATAGGCATACCTCATTTTATTGAACTTTTGCTTTATTGTACTTTGTAGATAATGCGTTTTTGTTTTTGTTTTTACAAATTAAAGGTTTGTGGCAACCCCGTATCAAGCAAGTCTATTGGCACCATTTTTTTCAACAGGTTCAGATTATGGTTTGCATTTTTTAGCAATAAAGTACTTTTTAAAAATTTTTATTGTTTAAAGTATGACATATGTCTTCTTTTCCCCCCATTGACCTCTCCTTGGCCACTCACACCCCCAGCACATGTCCTCACTCCCCTAATGTGTGTCCATTGGTTATGCTTATATGCATGCATACAAGTCCTTTGGTTGATCTCTTAACACCCCCAACACTCTCCTGCCATTTGAGGTTCTGTTTGATGTTTCTCTATCTCTGGATCTACTTTTGTTCATCAGTTTATGTTGTTCATTATATTCCACAAATGAGTGAGATTATGTGATATTTATCTTTCTCTGCTGACTTATTTTGCTTAGCAAAATGCTCTCCATGTCCATCCATGCTGTTGTGAATGGTAAGAGTTCTTTCTTATTTACAGCAACATATTATTCCATTGTGTAGATGTACCACAGTTTTCTAATCCACTCATCTGCTGATGGGCACTTAGGCTGTTTTCAAATCTTAGCTATTGTAAATTATGCTACTATGAACATAGGGGTACATATATCCTTTCTGATTAGTGTTTCTGATTTTTTGGTTATATTCCTAGAAGTGGAATTATTAGGTCAAAAGGGAGTTCCATTTTTAATTTTTTAAGGAAACTCCATTCTGTTTTCCAATATGGCTGCACCAGTCTACATTCCCACCAGCAGTGCACAGGGTTCCTTTTTCTACACATACTTGTAAGCACTTGTCATTTGTTTTGTTGATGATAACCATTTTGACAGGTGTGAGATGGTACCTCATTGTCATTTTGATTTGTATCTCTCAGATGATTAGTGACTTTGAGTATGTTTTCATATGGCTCTTGGCCTTCTGTATATCCACTTTTGAAAAGTGCCTATTTAGGTCCTTTGCCTATTTTTTTAAGTTGGATTATCTTCCTTTTGTTAAGATGTATGAGTTCTCTATGAATTCTGGAGATTAGAACTTTATCAGATATAACATTGGCAAATATGTCCTCCCATGCAGTTGGCTTTCTTATTTTGTTGGTTTCTTTTGCTGTGCAGAAGCTTTTTATTTTGATGTAGACCCATTAGTTTATCTTATCCTTAGTTTCTATTGCCCTAGAAGCTGTATCGGTAAAGATACTGCTCTGATATATGTCTGACATTTTGCTGCCTGCTGATTCTTCTAAGATTTTTATGGTTTCTCATCTTATGTTTAAGTCCTTTATCCATTTTGAGTTTGTTTTGTGTAAGGTCTAGTTTAATTTTTTTTCATGTATCTGTCCAATTTTCCCTACAATCATTTATTGAAGAGACTATCTTGACTCCGATGTATCCTCTTGCCTCCTTTGTCAAATACTAATTGAACATAATGGCTTGGGTCGATTTCTGGGTTCTCTGTTCTGTTCCATTGGTCTATATGTCTATTCTTGTGCCAGTACCAGGCAGTTTTAGGAACAGTGGCTTTGCAATAAAGCTTGATATATAGTATTGTGATCCCTCCAACTTCGTTCTTCTTTCTCAGGATTGCTGCAGCTATTTAGGGTCTTTTTTTCATTTTTATTCCATATGAATTTTTGATGAGTTTGTTCTAGGTCTGTGAAATATGCCCTGGGGCTATGCTCCAACCACTGAGAAAAATGACTAGAGCTGGTTGCATATTTATATTAAATACATATAAATATTAAATATCTATATTAAAAGATGTTAAATACATATTTGAATTAAAACACACATATGTAAATACATACTTATATTAGAATACATGTTTGTGTGCACATATATACACTCAAAACATCTCTGAGAAAAACACAAGGAATCGGTTAAAGGACAGAGGTAGAAGAGAGATCTACCTTGTACTATTTCATTTACATATTTTAATTTTATACCATATATTTTATATTGCCTATTTTAAAAATTAATTTTAAAAACTATATATAGCATAATACATACATTATATAATACATAACAATTTATAGCATAATTGTATTTGTGAAAGGTGAAATTTATATATGCCTAGAAAAAAATCTTACAGACTATACCAATATAATAGTGCTTAAATCTGGAGGTCAGGATTAGGGGCCTTTTACATTTTCCATGATTAACTTTCATAATGTTGAAATTTTTTACAATGATTAAATATTACTTGCATGATGAAAAATAATTTTAAAAACCTTTGCAGCCCTTAGCTGGTTTGGCTCGGTGTACAGAGCTTCGGCTGTGGACTGAAGGGTCTCAGGTTCAATTCCACTCAAGGGCACATGCCTGGGCTGCAGGCCCAGTCCCCAGGGGGGGTGGGCAGAAGGCAGCTAATCAATGATTTTCTCTCATCGTTGATGTTTCTATCTCTCTCTCCATCTCCCTTCCTCTCCGAAACCAATAAAATATATATATATTTTTAAAACTTCTGCAATAGATAAATATCTAAATGAAATTCTTATGTTTTGATTCCCTATTAAACTTTGTTTTAGGAACACAGTTTTTCTTTCCGACATTGAAGGATTTTTTTTTTTATTCTTTTGTATTGATAATTTAAGAAAAATGACAAACACTTAAGAGTTTTTTCTTTAGCAAAAAAAAAAAAAATTTTATAGCCAGAAAGATAATCTACCAGATATTCTTCTCTACTTATTATAAACTGTTTTAACATTTCTTCCTAAAGAGTCTTCTTGTATAATCATTTGTTCCTGAGTAAAATTGAATATTAAAGTATTTTTATTGAAAAGGGCTAGGAGTTAAGTTTTTCTATATATGTTTCAAATATGCTGAGTACTTTTTTGACTTCCATTTTAAAACAAATTTTTATAGGTTGGAAGCAAATATGAAGAGTTGCTAATTCAAAGGAGTATTTTATTTCTCTCTCTTAAGAAAAAGGTCGATAAGACCTATGAGGATATGAAAAGGGATCAACTAGAATTAATAAGGAATCAACGAGAAATGATAAGGGATCAACAAGAAATAAAGAATACATTGTCTGAAATAAAAAATATTATACAGAGTCCTAAAAACAGGATGGAAGATCGCAAGAATCAAGTCAAAGATTTGGAACATAAAGAGCCAGAAGACACTCCTCCGCAGAAGCAAGAAGACAAGAGAATCCAGAAAATTGAAGATAATGTAAGAAACATCTGGGACAACTTCAAGCGAACCAATATCAGAATTATGGGGGTCCCAGAAGATGAGAGAGATTAAGATATCGAAAACATACTGAAAGAAATAGTGACAGAAAACTTCCCCCATCTGGTGAAAAAATTAGAATTACAAGTCCAGGAAGCGCACAGAACTCCAAACAAAAGGAATCCAAAGAGGACCACACCAAAACAAATCATCATTAAAATTCCAAGAGCAAAAGACAAAGAGAGAATATTAAAAGAAACAAGAGCAAAGAAGGAAGTTACCTATAAAGGAGCACCTATACGATTGTCAGCTGATTTCTCAACAGAAACCATGCAGGCCAGATGGGAATGGCAAGAAATATTCAAGGTGATGAATAGTAAGAACCTACAGCCAAAGATAATCTATCCAGCAAAGCTATCACTCAGAATCGAAGGCCAGATAAAGAGCTTCATTAATAAAAAAAAAGCTAAAGGAGTTCATCACCACCAAACCAGAATTATATGAATTGCTGAAGGGGGTTCTTTCAGAAGAGAAAGTAAATAAAGATAAAAATTATGAACAACAAATACATAACTATCAACAAGTGAATCTAAAAACCAAGGAAACTAAAAAAAAAATCTGATGAACAATATTAACTGTTGAATATAATAGAATCAGAGGTATGGAAGGGGAGTGAACTGATGATTCTTGGGGAAAAGGGGAGAGGGGGATGTGGGAAGAGACTGAACATAAACTGTGCACCTATGGATGAGGACAGTGGGGGGTGGGGAAAGGGCAGAGGGTGGGATGGGAACCTGGTGGAGGAGAGCAATGGAGGGGGAGGAACATTTGTAATAATATGAACAATAAAAATTTATTTAAAAAAAAAAAATCCAGGAGCCATCACAATCAAAACAACAGGATGGACAACTGGATGGATGACCAAACAGCAGGCTGCATGAGGCAACCACGCCGGCAGGGGGGCAGTTGGGAGCGACCAGGCCGGCAGGGGAGCAGTAAGAGCGACCAGGCTGTGGCGGGGGGGGGGGGGGGGGGGGGAATTGGGGGTGACTAGGCTGGCAGGGGCGGGGGGCACTTGGGTATGACCAGGCCAGCGGGGGGGGGGGGGGAAGGGGCAGTAAGGGGTGATCAGGCTGGCAGGGGAGGGGGACAGGTAGGGGCAACCAGGCAGGCAGGGGGGACAGTAAGGGGTGACCAGGCTGACAAGGGGGGCAGTTAAGGGGCAACCAGGAGGTGGGGGGGGGGGCAGTTAAGGCGACCAGGCGGTGGTGAAGGGGGGCAGTTAGGACGACCAGGCCAGTGGGGGGAGGACCGTTGGGGGCAACCAGGCCAGCAGGGAGGGCAGTTGGGGGCGACCAGGCCAGCAGGCAGAGGCAGTTAGGGGTGATCAAGCTAGCAGGCAGGTGAGCAGTTAGGAACCAGCAGTCCCAGATTGTGAGAGGGATCCCAGATTGGAGAGGATGCAGGCTGGGCTGAAGGGGGATCCCAAGGGGGATCCCCCCCTCCCCCCCGTGCACAAATTTCATGCTCCGGGCCTCTAGTGTAATTATAAATAGGATCTAAAGAAAAACATTTCACCATAATAAAAGTGTTTTCTTTTAAGTAACAAATAAAATTTGTTTCTAGGTGATTAAAAGTTAAGACTTCTAATCATGGTGAATAACATCTTTCAGTTCCTAAAAGCTTCCTCAAAATAAACTAAATTAAAAGGACATCTAGTCACAAATGGAGTGTTGGGGAGAAAGTCTCTATCCTTTAGTCATCCCATTGGGCCTACGGCTATAAATTACCAATTATACTTTATTGACCTAGAAATATCTATTCCTAATCATTAGTTGGAGCAGGGTGTGCAGCAGTAATATGTTCTAGAGGGCGTGAAGCTAGGAGAAAGCCAAAATGTCAAAAGGATCATTGGCAAATCTTATTATCTATTCTTATACTTTAATTTGGAAGAAGAATGTTAAAAAGGGGCAAAAAGAACTATAAAGAGAAAAACATGGATATGGTTAGAATGCAATAGTCCAGAACATTTTAAAAGGAATAGGATCGGGCAGCATACTCCTAATTGAAGGCTGCTACAGTTTCAATCACTACCCTTTTGAGAACTGACTCCCCTATCCTTTTTCCCTTTTCATCTTTGTTCTTTTCCACCTTCTGATTCTCTCAACCATTCTTATCTTCCCCAACTTTGCCTAGTTGTAAAAAAAAAAAAAAAAAAAATCAAGATCTGACCTACATCTCAACAGTGTCCACTACTGCTGTATCTCTCTATTATGGAATCTTCTCCTTCCAGAGGAAGGCTTTATCTCAATTTCAAAGCCCTACTATAGTCAGGATTCTAAAGTGACCCACAGCCAGAAAATGGTTGGAAATCCACTGACCTACTAAAATAAAGAATTATACAAAAAGGCAATATTTACTTACCACGAACCTGTTTTTTTATTTCTTTGGCAGAATCCAGCCATGTCTGTAAAAAGAAAAGATATTCATACAGATTTCCAAAACATAAACAAAAGAATGTCAGAAGCAGAATTACTGACCATCTTCAAACAGTGCCTCCAGGTCAACCTACATTTCCAATATTCTTGTATTATTTCACATAGCATAGAAATATGAAGCAGAGAAATATGAAGCCAGACAATTGGGCTGAAATCCTAGCTCTACTACTTCCTGGTTGGGTGTCCCTGTTTAGGCATCTCTATGCCTCAGTTTCCTCATCTATATAATGAAATATTAGTAGTGCTATCTCATAGTTATGAAGATTAAATGAATTGATATGTGTAAAGCTCTTAGTAAACAAATGCTAAATAAGCACCTGTAATTTTTATTACACTATAAAAACTAGTGGAGACATATAACCAGAGTTACTGACATCACCCAGATCTTATTTTTCCATCTTTTCTATGTTAGCACAGGATCTGGTACATGGTTCATTCTCAGTTAATGTTTACTGAATGACTATTTTGTTTCCCCTAACTATTCTTGTCCACATTAATCTCTCCCTTCACTGTTTTACAATCTCACTTAAAATCTGCCCACCACTGTGGTAAACCATACAAAATAATTGTATGTGAAAAGAGCCTTACTCTTAACACAACTTTCATAGGCTCCTTGGGAAACGTTTAAAGACAGAAAGTTCTAAATTGAATTGCTCAAAGATTATATTGACATAAGATGCACATTGAAAAGTACATAAATTATCAAAGCAAATATATAACAACATTAGAGGCCCAGTGAATGAATTTGTGCACAGGTGAGGGCTGGCTGGCCCCGTCCCAATCAGGATGAGGGGACCAATAGGGGTTGAGGCTAGCCAAGGGGAGGGGGAGCAGGAGATTGGCCAGCAGGCTTCACCTCTGATAGGGATGGGGGTGGCCGATCGGAATTAGGGCTGGCCTGGGAGAGGGGCCTCAGGTAGTTGGCTGGCCGGGGGAAGAGGCCGCAGGAGGTTGACAAGCCGGCCCTTATCCCCCACCCCCTGCAGTGCATGTCATAGTGACTGTTCATCCCGATCATTCTGGTCGCGCATATGTGTGTGTGTGTATATGTGTGTGTGTGTGTGTGTGTGTGTGTGTACACACACACACACACACACACACACATACACACACACACACACATATATATATATATATATATATATATATATATATATATATATATATATATATATATATATAATTACCAGCATCCTAGGAGCTCCTCTTCCCCATCCCTCCCCATTCCCTCCACTAAAAAGTTTTAAATTGAATTTTAGTGGTATTTAAACAAGGGAAGCAGGGTGTTTCCTCTTCACTCTCTACCAACAAAGGCAAAGCACAGGAGACCATCCCATTTGCCCCACCAAAGAAATGAGCTTGAACACCACAATCTTCTAACTGCAGACCACTTTAACTGTTTTATAAAAACTCGAGGCCTAGTGCACAACATTCATGCACTGGAGTGGAGGGGTCCCTCAGCACAGCCTGTGCCCTTTAGCAGTCCAGAAGCCCTCGGGGGAGGTCCAACTGATGGCTTAGGCCCGCAGTTGGATACCCTCAGCTCTGCCACGGAGGCTGGAGAAGCTCCTGCCACCACTGCTGAGGTCACTGGCAATCTCACCCTGGCTTGTGGGTGAGCAGCACTCCCCCTGTGGGAGTGCACTGACCACCAGGGGGCAACTCCCACATTGAGTGTCTGCCCCCCTGGTGGTCACTATGTGTCATAGCAACCAGTCATTCTGCCATTTGGTCAATTTGCATATTACCCTTTTATTTTATAGGATAGTCACTATAACAGACAATAAGCACAAGAGTGAGGACTAGTTTCCTTTTATCTCCTCTGCTTCCAAAATTACCACAGCTGATTAAGAAATAAATATTAAAAATAATTCAATATAAAATTAATCTATAGTATAAAACGAGGCACACATTTGTCTAAGCCCTGTCAGAAAGGGGGTGACCTGGGTGTTTCTTCTTTGTCTCTCATTAAGACCAAAGAACTTTAAGTTGTTTATAGATACTACTAGAGGCCTGGAGCATGATATTCGTGCACTGGCGGGGGAGGATGCGGGGCAGGAGGGTGCCCCTCAGCCCAGCTTGCAACCTCTCCAGTCTGGGACCCCTCGAGGGATGTCCGACTTCCTGTTTAGACCTGATCCTGGTGGAATCAATCCAGGATTGCTGGCTCCCAACTGCTTGCCTGCCTGCCTGCCTGCCTTCCTGATTGCCCATAACCGCTTCTTCCTGGCAGCCTGATCACCCCCTCACCACTTCCATGCCAGCCTGATCTAACTGCTCCCCTGCCAGCTGTTTGCCCCGAACTTCCCTCTTCTGCCTAGTCACCCCTAACTTTCCTCCCCTGCAGGGTTGATCATCACCAACTGCAGGTCTGGTGTCTTCCAATTGCCCTCCCCTGCTTGCCTGATTGCCTACAACTGCCCTCCCTTGCAGGCCTAGTCCCTCCCAACTGCCCTCCCCTGCTGGCCATCATGTGGTGGCCATTTTGTGTCCACATGGGAACAGCCATATTGTGTGTTGGAGTGATTGTCAATCTGCATATTACTCTTTTATTAGATAGGATAGAGGCCTCACAGGTGGGGGCCAGCTGGTTTATACTAAAGGGTGTCCCGAATCAGGATGGGGGTTCCCTTAGAGCATGGGGCAGCCTGGGCGAGGGGCCTGTGGTGGTCTGCAGGCCAGCCACGCCCCCTGGTGACCCACGCAGAGGCCCTGGTATCTGGAATTTATTTATCTTCTACAACTGAAACTTTGAAGCCTGGAGTGGAGTCAAGCCTCCTGCTCGCTCTGTGGCTGCAGCCATTTCTGTTGGAATTTATGTATCTTCTACAATTGAAACTTTGTAGCTTGGAGTGGAGGCCTGAGCTGGCTAGGGCTGCAGAAGCTTGGCTTCCTCTATCACCCGGAGCAACCCTAGCCTCCTGCTCTTCCAGCTCAGTGGTTGCTGCTATTTCTGTTGAAATTTATTTATCTTCTATAATTGAAACTTTGTACCCTTGAGTAGATGCCTGGGTTCACCAGGGTGTGTGGAAAGCTTTCCATTGCCAGGGAAATCCAAGCCTCCCTCTTGTTCTCTATGGCCGCAGCCATCTTGGTTGGGGTTAATTTGCATACTCGCTCTGATTGGCTGATGCATGTAGCTGGTGGGTATGGCTTTTGGGTGTAGCAGAATGATGGTTAATTTGCATATTACTCTTTTATTAGATAGAATAGTGCAAGTAATATAGGTTTCACTGCTTATATGTTTTAAAAAGCCACATTTAGACTGGCTGATGTTGCTCAGGAGTTGAGCATCAACCCATGAACCAGGAGGGTCCTGGTTCAATTCCTAGTCAGGGAACATGCCCAGGTTGCAGGCTCTATCCCCAATAGGCTCCATCCTGCAGGAGGCATGCAGGAGGCAGCCAATCAATGATTCTCTGTCATCACTGATGTTTCTCTCTCCCTTCCTCTCCCTGAAATCAATAAAAACATATTTTAAAATAAATAAATAAGTCCACAAGTGATGTCAACCCAAATCTTCCAAGCAAAAGATCCCCAAAATGGTCTCCCTACTCTGCAAGTATGTTTACAAAATTTATTTTAGTCTTTCTCATTTACCAGACAATAAAGACACAATCAGAACTGGCATTTGCCCTTCAAAGCCAGTCATGAATCAATGAAACACAATCCATCCTTTCAAAGAACTATAAACTAAATTCCTCTCTCTTAATGTAATATTCATTATACTGGTGCTTGCTATTTGCCTTTGAAAGATGATTTCCCACTCCTAAGGTAAAAGAATTCATCCACACATTCATCTATTACTCTATTCCTTAATCCCTATAGTAAACCAGGCTGGATGGCTCCTAGTTCCTCCAATACTACTCTCTCAACTCCAGGCCTTTCTCCACTTCACTAGCCCATTTTATCCTCAGGTCTCAGCTTAGGCATCAGTTATTCAGAGAGGACTTCCCTGGCTATACTCTCCCATGACATCTTGTACTTCCATTTGTATGACACTCATCACACTCCACCGTAAGCTCCAGAGGGCAAGGACCATGTCTACCTTGTCACAGCTATATCCATCTCATCTAGTATAGCACCTGCAAATACTTGTTAAAAATGAACTAAAGTCTTCATCATTAAATTCTGAGCTAAATATTTGTAATTTTCAGTTAACTGGCCCAGAAAATAATTCAAGTTTTCTGAAGTAAATACTTGATTTCTGCCTGGCCAGCATGGCTCAGTGGTTCAATGTCGACCTATGAACCAGGAGGTCATGATTCAATTCCTGGTCAGGGCTCATGCCTGGTTGTGGGATCGATCCCCAGTGTGGAATGTGCAGGAGGCAGACAATCATTGGTTCTCTCTTATCATTGATGTTTTTATCTCTCTCTTCCTCTCTGAAATCGATAAAAATACATATTTTTAAAAAATCCTTGACTTTTAACCTTTCTTCCTTCCTCCATGTTCTCACGCTTTTTTACTTCCTTCAATTAACTTTACTGGTTTTCTTTTAGGTTGGAACAAAATGTCAGTTTCATTTATAAGTGTTCCAGCAATATTGGGATTTAATTCTTTTATAATGTTACTTTCATATTATAAGTATACAGTGGATAAAGTAGGTTTACAGTTGTTCATATGGAAAATAATACAATAATTAATAAATAATAATATAAGGATAAACTCTGTATTTTGCATACTCCCAACTATAAGCCTACTTTTGCCAATCCCTGTATATCACAATTATCCTATAAATATAGAATAATTATGATAGAACCATCCATTCAACAAATATGCTATATAATAAAGAGGTAATATGCAAATTGACCCTCATGCTCTCACGTCACAAAATGGCCCCCACATTGTCACATGATGGCCGCCCCCATGTCATCACAAGATAGCCACCACAAGATGGCTACCCCCACCTTGTCACAAAATGGCCACTCAAATGTTGTCATAAGATGGCTGCTCCCACAATGTCACAAGATGTACGACAGGGAAGGTCAGTTGGGGGCGATCAAGCTGGCATGGGAGCAGTTAGGTATCAATCAGTCCAGCAGAGAAGCAGTTAGGGGGTGATCAGGCTGGTAGGCAGAAGCGGTTAAGGGCAATCGGGCAGGGAGCAGGTGAGTGGTTAGGAACCAGCAATCCCACATTGTGAGAGGGATCCCAGATTGGAGAGGGTGCAGGCTGGCCTGAGGGACACCCCATCCCCCATTGCACAAATTTCATGCACTGGGCCTCTAGTTTATTATAAACCTGCTATATACTAGATCAAATACTAATTGTATTACACATAAAATTATTGGTATACACTTGCTAATCAAGATATCAAAGTTCTGTACTTTGCCTGTGTTTTAAAAGTAAACAATAGATACTTTCAATGATGAAAGAACACAGCAGCAATGATATTTTTTCTTTAAAATGTTCATTCTAGTTTAAAGAAATAAGAAAAACTCTAAGTATACTGTATTTTGGAGAGGCAGACATAAATACATTAATTAACAACACAGCTTCTTACATTACCAGAAATTTCCTCACCTTGGAGGTTTCATTATCCCAAATGGCTAGACCAAAGTAGTCTTCTTCCAAAAGATTGAGATGCTCACATACTCGCTTAAGTAAATCTTGTCCTTTTGCATGTTTCTGCAAAAATATACATAGTTTAGTTGAGGTTTTCTCTTACTCTTGTATTCATCACCAAATAAAATAAAATGTCATTTTTTAATTTCCTCTTTTATCTAGTTTAAAAAATAGCTAATAGCTAACATTTTTCAAGTGGCTTATACAGTATAAGTAGAACAATGTGAGTTATAAAAATCTTGCTTCATAATTTGTCTACTTAAATATGCAAGACACATAATGGCTTGGAAATAATACTACAATTCAAAGCAAGATATAAAAAAGCTTCCCTCCATCTACTACCACCCGTTTACCTCCTTCCTAAACATAATATTCTTTATTTTTTGGAGCAATATTTCCTGAAGCTTGCTATGGGTTGCTGTCAGTCATCATGACTATCTGAATTAATTGAACCAATTGCTGACATTGACAGTTGGTGGCTATAGAAATTATTACTCTCTATTATTCTCAGACCAAATGTCCCAAGAGAATAAAAAATGATGTCTCAAGTCCGTTTAATCTCTTTCAGAAAAATGCATGAAGTGTAAAACTCTAGATACCTGCATATATTAACTACTGCAGTTGCTCTTTCAGATGTGCTATGAATCATTTTCTTAATATCTCTTTACCTAGAAAATAAATGACTGCCAACTGTGGGTACTTATATTCCTGTTTACAGTGAGGAAATGCCCCAACTGAGATTTAGAGTAAAAAATCCTGGCTCCTCCATGCACTAGCTAAATAACCTGAATCTATTTAATCACTCTTTCTGAACTTTAGCTTTTGCATTTACACCTGTCCTATTTATTGACTGGAATAGTAGTAGGAGGGGTGAGGAGAGAGAGTCAAAAGGCTAATTAATGCCTTCTGATAAATATATTTTTTAAATGTCAAAAAACTAGAAATAATTTTGGAACATATACATGGCATGTCTTTCAATTAGCTGAGTTATTTTTAATGACCATTAGTAATTCATATAGATGTTAACTCTCATTTTCTCACCTATGTTTTCACTCTAAATGACAGAGATGATTTGGGAATTCTTTACAACAATTGCTTAATATCAAGCATATAATTGACAATTACTGCTCTAGTTTAAAAAATAGCTAAGATTTTTAAGGATTTTAAGTTGTCTTGAAGAAGCAAAAGAGTAACTACATAATACAATTTTATTCAATCTTGATTCAATTTTTTATTCTTTCAGAAAACAGAGAATTTTGCCGAAACCGGTTTGGCTCAGTGGTAGAGTGTTGGTCTGCGGACTGAAAGGTCCCCGGTTCGATTCTGGTCAAGGGCATGTACCTTGGTTGCGGGCACATCCCCAGTAGGGGGTATGCAAGAGGCAGCTGGTCGGTGTTTCTCTCTCATCGATGTTTCTAGCTCTCTCTCTCTCTCTCTCTCTCTCTCTCTCTCTCTCTCCCTTCCTCTCTGCAAAAAAAAATCAATAAAATATATTAAAAAAAGAAAATAGAGAATTTTAAGAAATGGCATTACTTGATTTAATTTTTTTATATCTTATGTAATAGGGATAAAGAATTAAATTAAGTAAACTAAAGCTTATCAAGGTTTAGAGAGGAGAGCAGAGTAAACACAGTACATTTTTTTTTTTTTTACAAATATGATATGGGAATAGCTGGATCTAATATCAGAAATTGAAGCTATCCTAGGAAATTTAGTCATGAAAGGTCACTTTATAAATAACAAACCTATTTTTTAAAAACAAAATTGTTTTGGCCCTTGCTGGTGTGGATCAGTTGGTTGGGCATTATGCCATGCACCAAAAGGCTGTTAGTTCGATTCCCACTCAAGGCACATGCCTGGGTTTCAGGCTCCATCCCCAATTCAGGAGCATGCAAGAGGCAGCCTTTCGATGTTTTGCTCTCACATCAATGTTTCTCTCTATCTCTCTCTCAAAATCAATAAAAATATTTAAAAATTTGTTTTGATTATAAAAGTAACACATGTTCAATTCACAAGATTTGACAGATGCAGAAAAAAAACCTGAAGAAAATACTCATAATCCTTCCACATCTCTACCTCCAGAAAAATCACTATTAACATTTAAGCCCATAGAAATTGTCATTATACTAGGTCTTGTCTCAGGCCATGCATGACACCACTTACCCAATCCTACATGAAATAATTTGTAAGAGTCCTAACTACCGAAACTTAAAATGTACTTACTTCTACAACACATTCATAAACTGTGTCATCCAACAAAGAAACCTTGCAATGCATGTTTCTGTGTCTTCTGATTGATTTCTGGGAAGCTTTTAATTCTCTTTCTGCTTTTGATTCAGGGCTTTCTTCTTTCACTTCTATTTTAGAGCACTCTTCAACTCCTCCTTCTTCCTTAGTTTCAAAATCTGGATCTTCTGTGCGTTCTTCCTGAGCAGGCTATATATGCATGACATCACCAAGTCAATAATAAAGACATTTCACAAAGCATGTTGTATATACTACTACCTATAATAACGCTACCAATAAAAGCACTAACTGAAGAAAAACTGTTGAAACAAATATAAGTGATGCTAATATTAAATAATCATTTTGCTATAAAAGGTATTATGATCTCCCAAAAGAACTACAGACTCTCCTATTCTTAAAACTGCATTAACAGAAGGTAGAATCCCATCTATCACATCAATAAATGAAGGTATCAGATGAATTAGAGGACACCTTTCTGTTGCTTTCAAGATTATATATTCTTCCTGATTATGCCATTATATAATTGTAAAACCTATAAAAATTTTAACATCTCTGTGCCATGCTCCTCAATTTTAACAAGGTAGCCTAATGAATTGCAAAATGAGATGTGATTTGTCACATATTCAAAATTTTATGAATGGCTAAGAGGGGTTGTTGGGACTAATTTTAGAGCATAAAGCAACATATATAGTAGGCTAACTGTAACTACCAATTAACTGATATCAGGTATCCATCATGATAAATACAAAGAAGGTTCAAAGAAGCAAGAGACAAATTGAAATATGGGTCTCCTGGGGCCTGAACTGTTATTAAGGTGGTTTTTTGTTTTTGTTTTGTTTTTTACCTCTAGCCATCTTTGAATGTATCTTCATATGATTTACATTTATATCCCAAAGCAATACAACTAAGTAGAGTAAAATTTTGGCAGACTTTTTTCAAGCACAACAAAATCATTTTCATTTAAAAGAATACATAGCTGACTTTTAGGAAAAATAATTTAATTATTTGGCTCCTGCATTACATAAAGGATCTTTCCAAACCTCCTGACCCTCTTAAATGCCACCTCTTCAGAGAGGCCTTCATTGGCTATTCTACCTATCCTATTCTTCACATCAGTACCTGCTGTGTTGCCTTAATTACATTTATTATGATAAATAATTATTCTGTATTTACCACTTTTTGTCTCCTCCATTAGACTATAAAGTCATCAAGAGTAGGGATATGTGTTTTATAAAAATAAAGCAAATATTTACATAACAATTACAAAAGCATTGCTCAGATGAACTCATTTTATCTTCATAAAAACCTCCGGGGAGGTCACTGTCATTATCCCCATTTGACAGATAAGAAACTGAAGCCAGAGAAATTCAAATAACTTGGAATCATAACTGTTAATAAGTCACATATCAGTCTGGCTCCAAAATTCATGATATCAAACTTCTTCACCATATTATAGTTTTTATTTACTAGTGTATATTCAACTTAGGGTTTGGTACACATAGGTTTTCAAAAAACAATTGTTTTAATTAATAAATAAATATTAAAAACTGACACATGGCTTCCAACAAAATCCAAGGCACTCTAGATGAAAAATGGTACAATCCTATAAGATAAACTCACTTTGTTAAAAATTCTGAATAGAAAAGGACCACGCAAAGAAATTCTCCTACATGTAACAAATATAGTTAATGCATGTAAGACTAATCAATGGACACAGACAAGAGGGGGGTAAGGGCATGAATGGGGAAGGTTGAGGGGGGATTGGGGGAATAAGGACACATATGTGATACCTTAATCAATAAAAAAAGAAAAAAAGAAATATGGTTAAGCAATAAGGTTCTGATCCACAATGCTGTGATTTTAAATACTAGCTTCCAAAAAACCCTAAATAGTTCGCTCCTTTAAACAATACCCTCTTGAATTTTTATTATTTATTTTGTTTATTTTTCTTTATATGTAGATAAATACCTAAACACAATTTATCCCAATTCTGAATTAATGAAATTTCAATGAATGAGATTTTAATTAAGTCTAGAATTAATTTTGTCTGTCATGTGTTTCAACTTCAGTACAAAAGCTATGATCTTTAGAGAAAATAACCCTGATTAAACGCTAACTAGAATGAGATATGGATTTTTCCCTATATAAAGCAAAGGACCAAAAAAATCCAGTTAAAAACCTTTTGAAAGTACCAGGCTTCCTGAAAGAGGGTAGAATTTAACTATTCGTATTCTTCAAATAAAATTAACAATATTAAGATATATAATGTATCTTTGCTTTTACTGAGAATAATAACTAACATTGAGTGCTTAGTAAATGCAAGGCAATGACTTGAGACTTTACATGTTTATCTCTTTTAATCCTCATAATTGCCAAGTGAGGTGGATATTATTATCCTTAGAGGAGGAAAATGATAAAGCAAAAGTGTCACTTCTCTATGATTTAAACCCTCTAGTGTGATTTCATTAACTATTACACTAAATCTTACGTTCAATCTTGTTTCACTACTAGCAAGTATGTAATTACAACTTTATCCTAAATTTTACTCTTAGCACGTTTATTATACAATATTTCTAGAAATACATGTAATATTTTAGAGAATTCTAATAAAACTGTATAGCACAAACCCGAGACCTATGATCTATATACATAAAAGCCTAAATGACTGTTATGACCAGTCAACAGGTTGACTACTTGACCAGTTGCTATGATGTGCACTGACCACCGGGGCCAGATGCTCAAAGCAGAAGCTGCCCCCTGGTGGTTAGTGCGCTCCAACAGTCAACCTTTCGTGGCCTGCCAACCTCCTGCAGCCCTCCTCCCTGGCCAGCCCTGATCACCCCCCAATTGGCCCTGATCGCTGGCCTGGCCAAGGGACCCCACCTGTGCACAAATTCATGCACCAGGCCTCTAGTAAAAATATATAAGACTTAGACTTTTACTATGCAGATAATTCTCACATGCTTCAGAAATAAAAAGACTGAAAATTTCCCCATGTTTTTTGGACAAATGAACAAATCCAGAGCTCATGTTTCATTAATTACAATGTGACACAATAAAGACCTCAAATTATTATATATTACAATGGTGATATAAACACCTAGACTTTCTCATCTGTATCTTATATATATATAGTCTGTGGTAATATGATCCAGTTAGAAAAGATGACAAAAATGAGGCAGGTCTGGGTCAAATCTATCACGTATCTCTGGGATGGCTTGAATCTATCACATGGCTTTAATGAGAGTCCCATTAAAAAACCATGTCTGCTGATAACTATCCCATTCCTAATAATTCCAACAAAATTAACTCTAAACCACCTTAATTCTTTTTCCCCTTTTATTAAATATCATGAATGTGTTCCACAATAACAGTAAAATGACAAAGAGGCTGAATAAATTAATTTGATAAGTTCTTTTCTTTCGTTTTGTTTTCTTTGATTATATCATATAAGTACCTTTTAAAAATCAAGTTTCCATTGACTACTTTAATTTCTTTATCTTTTAAATTTTTATTTTTTAATTATAGTTTACATTCAGTATTATTTTGTATTAGTTTCAGGTATCCAACATAATGGTTAGACAATCATATACTTTATGAAGTAGTTCCCCTGATATTTCATCTGGCGCCATGCATAGTTATTACAATATTATTGACTATATTCTCTGTGCTGTACTTTACATCCCCATGACTATAATCATTTCTTTAAAGCAGAAACTGCAAAGCTTTATGTTACTTATTACTATCAATCCCAAGTCAACTGGCTAATAACAAATAAAACCTAATGTTCTTAAATGAAAAATAAAGTGTCTAACCTACCTTCATTACACCCACCTCCCACACATTCACATATCCTTACCTGTGTTTCTGCACTGCTTAATGAGTGAAGATCCAAGGATGGGTCTGTTTTGAGTTCAGGTTCAGGAGCTGCAATTGGGGCCTTTAAAATGACCTCTTCATCAAGACTGGTTGCAAATTCTATGTCTTTCTGACCTCCTTCACCTTTCTCTTTGGCTGACTCTACTTCTTTGCCTTCTTCCTCAGAGACCTGAGATTTAGGCCTTTTGAGAAATGAGGAGAACAGCCGTGACAGGCCCCTGTTTTCTGATGTCCGCTCCTTGTTCTTGGTCAAGTCTTCATGCGTAGGAGTGTCTCCATTGGATGTTTTCAGCTTCTGCTCACACTGATTATCTCCCTCAGCTGCTGCTTGAGAAACCTCTCCCAGCTGAGTTTCTTGTTGGCCTGAGTTTGTGGCTCCCTCTCCCTCTTCCTTCTGTTGTTGGTGCTGTGAATTTTCAGCCTCAGCCACTAAACTCTTCTCTGTTGTCATGATGTTCCTATTAAAAAGAAGTTGGGAAAGGAGGCTATTATAAGCAAAACACATTACTGTAGGTGAAACCCTAAATCAGGTCAAGTGTGCTAAAATTAATATATTTAGGTATTTAATCGCCAACAGACAATATTCCAGTCCATTAAAAATCAGGCTTTCCATTAAAGCACAAAAGTATTTACCTATACATCCTGAATAAATTATTAATGCTTTATCTTGCTAAAGATATTCACATAGAGAAATTAGCTTAAAATAGTACCCCTTGAGGTCACCTCAGTGAAATATATTGTATTTTAAATTCAATGTTGAAAACTGTACAGAGCAAATAGTTTATCCTGTCTAAAAAAAGGATTTTATTTGTATAATGTCTTCTGAGGGTATCAATCTGAAGGTGCAAGGTTGCAAGACTTATTCCTCTATACCCCAAAAGATAAAATTAACCCCCCCAACTCTGTTTTTTCCACCTATATTTCTTAGAATGCATAGACTTCTCTGTTAAGAACAACAAATTCAGAATTTTGATCATTTATCAAACTTGACAATGACAAGTATACACAAAAATTCCTTGGGTTTTTCTGTTGCAATACTAAATTACAGGTTTTTATAGAAGTATCCCACTTTAAGTTCTTTAAGACCTTTTCATCTCTGACAAATGTGATTTTTTAATGCTCAGCGTTTTTAAGAGTAGGCAGTTAACTATTACTATGTAGAGAAATGATAGGAAAAAAAGGAACAAAATAGAGAAGACAATTTTAGAAAGCAAATAATTCAATTGTAGGAAAGGAGGAGAAAGTAGGCTATAGATCGCACAAATTTCAAATTTGTTGGTTTCTAGCCTCTTGATTTCAAAATCCCAGTATTATTAACCAAGCCTTACAATAATAGCCAAAAAGCTATTGTCACACCTTGTTACCAAAGAAGAACCAATAAACAAGGGAACTTTTGAGGCACTAGTTGACTATTGATGATCTTACATTTTGATTCACTGTTACATCTGAAAGTATTCCACTCAAAAAGCAGCACTTATGTTGTCTTTACATCTGCTCCATGCTACTTATATGAAGAAATTGTATTTGAATGCTAACAATCTGAATTAACCATATTTAGTTGATTCCCTCCTCAGGCCCTTCGCACTTGCTCTTCTCTCTACTTATGATGATGTTCTTCTCCAAAGCTGGTCTTCTTCTCATTATTACCTTCTCTGCTCAGAAGTCACTTCCTTAGGCCTCCCACACATACTCTGTCTACAATAGTGGCCCTTTGTCCTCCAGATGGCCTCACACCACTACTGCACTTATTATCTACAATTATTCTGTTACCTTATTTGTTTACTGGTTTAGTGTCCTCTCCCTTTTTCTCCCCCAGCTAAAATATAAATTCCATGAAGACAGAATAATATCTGGCACATTATAGACCTTCATAAAAGTTTGTTGAATTAATTCACTTCAACTGAATAAATTTGACCAATATAAACTGCAAAGACATTCTCTAAATTTATTCAAGCACATTTACTTCAAATGCATGACTATTCATTCAACAAATCCTTATCAAGCACCTAGCATGTAAGGTTGATCAGAATTAAATAAATAAATAATCGCAAAAAGAAATATTCTATGGACCAACAAACTCATCCTGACAAACCTGTTTAACATGTAGCCAAATTATTCACATTACAAATAACCAGAAGAAAAGATACTATCATGGGAATTTACAAGCAGTAAAACAGGATAAATATTCTACAAATAGGCCCTTCCTCTGTAAATAATACTAGTTTTCATTCTGGATACAAAATCCAAAAGGAAATATCTGTTTATGTAATGTCTGAAAGAGGTCTTCTGATCTAAAAAAAAAAAAAAAAAAAAAAAAAAAAAAAAAAAATCAGAACAACACTGAAGACAAAGTAATGAATTCCCATTCCATTTCAATCCTAATCCTCCAAACCCAGGGAATTATACCCCATCTGGTATCAAAGATACACTTGTTTTAACAGTGTGCATCTGTTGACTTCAGGCAAATCAGATCTTTAAAAACCTGATACTGAGCAGATTGCAAGTGCTGGACTCTTATCTTTCACCTTTTTTGTATCTCTAGCATTAGTACCATCAGTACTCCATTAATGCTTCTCGGATGGAAAACTTTATAAAAACAGTACAGTTTGGCACCACTAAGCAAATTTCCCTTAAAATCACCATTTAGGGATAAAGTTTAATGACCTACTTATTGGTAATACTCTTCAAATTAGCTCACTGAACACCTATAAACGTTTACTGGGTGATAATCATTCATAAAGTTTTAGTCAGCTCTTTGAGAGGGACTAAAAATGGATAATATACAATTCTTAAGGAAATAAGACATTCAGCCCTATAGCATCTACTTCCAAAGTATAGTAAGTAGTCCAGACTGGTTGGAATTGGGATACAAAAAGGAAGTAGAAGGAGGTAAGGTTATATAGTTACCATTTAAAATTAATTCTAGGTTACGAAACTTGAAGAAAAAGGTGAAGGGACTAAGAAACAAACAAAAAAAACACTCAGACACAGACAACAATATGGTTGATTACCACAGAGGGAGGGAGGTGAGAGTAGAAGAAGTATGTGGGGAGGGGAGGAAAAAGAATGAAATAATTCTAACTAAAATAATAGTAGCTACCATTTAATGAGCACCTACTAAATACCATATTTTATTCTACATATTTCACTACTTACAAACATTCTATAAGGTGTCTTCATTTCCCAGATAAACAAGTTCTGGGAGGTTAAAAAATTCCCCCCCCCCTCAGATTATAAAACTACGCCATCCTTTAATGAAACTATTAATATACTACAGGATAGTGATTCTATTGTAAATTCCCAGAATAGTATTTGTCTTTCTAAAACTTGGTATTTCAGATGGTTCTACTCCACTGTGCCCTGCTAAAGAAGCCCCTATCTGTTAAGAATTTATGAACATGCTATTCAGTCTGGCCAAGACCACCTCTGTTCCCACAAGTTTCAAGTCCCCCAGTTGTTTACATATTTCTCTTTCCATAGAGTGTATGTAAAGATAGAATTGGGAGACAGGGAAAGACAGGCAAAGAGATTTTTAAAAAGGACTTGAATAACATGTTAAACAGTTTGGACTTTATCCTAAAGGCAATGGAGAATCACTGAAGGTTTCTAAACAGTGAAGTGGGTAAACAATGTGACGGGGAGAGGCTAGAAAAAGAAAGAACTTGGCAAACGACTGAGTAAATTTAGGTTATCAGTGAATAAATTCACAATGGGAATCCCTAGGGAAGTGGAAACAAATACTGAGCAGAGAAATTTGAAAAGCCTTTGCAACCAAAGCTTAAGAATGACTGTTGCCCTCATTTTCATTAGCATGCTTATTCTCCAGCTTATTTTTATTATACTTCTCATTAACCCAAGCAGTTTCATGTCTGAGTCTGTCATTTTTATATTACGCCTTCCTTGACCCACTCAAATAAACAGCTTAATAAAGGAAGGATAGCAATACAAACAAAATAGAAAAGAGAGGGAAGAGAGATGGGTATCTCACAGGCATCTCAAAACACATGCCCCAAAGTAAACTCTTGATTCTCTCTTCCTGTCCCAGAAAATTGTTCAATCATACCAGCCAGTAGCTCAGACCAGATACGTAAGCATCATCCTTGTCTCAGTCTTCTCCATTTCCCTTCCCAATAAAATCTGTCAATCCTATAGAGTTTACCTCCAAAATATATTTAGAATCAGCCCACTTTTCTTCTTCTCTACTGCTACCATGTTTGTGTAAGCTTCTTTCACTTCTCACTGAACTACAGATCCTTGAATGACCTCAACAACCTCACCCTGTTCTATTTTCTCCCCTGCCTCTATACTCTAGTCACAACAGTCAAGTGCTTTCCTGCCTTAAATCATTGGTACATGCCATTTTCTTAGACTGGAACACACCCCATCCCTTGCAACAAGTCTGGTTTCTTCTAATAATTCAAGTTCCAGGTAGAATAAGTCCTCTTCAATCTTCCTTGACTATCCTAACATCTACAAAACTCTCCCCGTAAGTCACTTCCCAGTCCTCTATTCCAGAACCTATTTACTTCCTTCACAGAATTCTCTCAGTGTATAAGAACAAACTTGTTTTTTACCTGTGTGATATCTGTTTCCGCACTGCACTATCATCTACATTGTAATATCCATGACCATGACAGAAAGGCTGTTTCCACAGTATTCCTAGTACCTAGCACAGAACTTGTGACACCTCGTACAGAACCAAGTACTAGCACAGAACACTGTAAGTATTCAATAAATATTTGCTCAGTAGATGAATTCATATAAAGAAAAAGAAGAATTTAGGTTTAACAATATTAATTATACATGTACAGGCTGAAGGTAAAGGATGTTAAGAAACAAGAAAAAGATGTTAAGGTCTTGATTGAACATACTCCAGAGATCAAATTCTAAAGTAGCTAACAAACTAGACTGCTTTCTAGGTTTATAGGAACCACAGCACTCATTTGACTCGTCAACATATATTTTCTGAGAACATTATTATGTTCTATATAATATGGTTAGTGGGGCTACAACAGTGAGAAAGATAAACACAGTCCCTGACTTCCTGGGCTTCGCTCTCAGTGCAAAGGATCATGGAAAGTAACAATCCCTCAGTTCTCGTTATTTATATTACATCTTAAAACTTATACATTCATTTTTCGACAGTTTATTTAAAAGAAACCAGAATCTGTCTGAAGAAGAAATAAAGGATGGAATTTGAGACACATCATAAGATAAATAAGTAAAATATATTAGAATGCTTAGCCTAGAAAAAGAGAATCCAAAGTAGGGACTTGATTGTGGCCCTCACAAATTTCAGGAGTTGCCAAATTCTTTGTGATTCCTAAGAGCAGAACTCAGATTAGTCTGTAGAAATTACAGAGACACATTCTTCATCCCAATAAAGTACAAGAAATTCCAAATAATTCAAGATATCCAATATTTAAGTGGTCTGATTAGGAATAGTGAGCC